ACGACAATAAAGCCCAATATGTGTGGGGAAAACGTCAATAAACTCCACTGTGTGTGGGGGGAAACGTCAATAAAGTCCATTGGTTTTGTGGGAAACGTCAATAAATTCCACTGTGTGGGGGGAAACGTCAATAAAGTCCACTGTGTGTGGAGGAAACGTCAATAAAGTACACTGTGTGGGGGGAAACGACAATATAGCCCAATATGTGTGGGGAAAACGTCAATAAACTCACTCCACTGTGTGTGGGGGGAAACGTCAATAAAGTCCACTGGTTTTGTGGGAAACGTCAATAAATTCCACTGTGTGGGGGGAAACGTCAATAAAGTCCACTGTGTGTGGGAGAAAAGTCAATAAAGTCCACTGCATGTGGGGGAAACGTCAATAAAGTCCACTGTGTGTGGGGGAAACGTCAATGAAGTCCACTGAATGGGGGAAACATCAAGAGTCCACTGTGTGTTGGGAAAACGTCAATAAATTCCAGTATGTGGGGGAAACGTCAATAAAATCCACTGTGTGAGTGGGAAACATCAATAAAGCCCACTGTGTGTGGGAAACGTCAATAAAATCCACTGTGTGTTGGGTAAACGTCAAGAGTAAACTGTGTGGGGGAAACATCAAGAGTCCACTGTGTGGGGGAAACATCAAGAGTCCACTGTGTGGGGGAAACATCATGAGTCCACTATGTGGGGGAAATATAAAGAGTCCACTGTGTGGGGGAAACATCAAGAGTCCACTGTGTGGGGGAAACGTCAAGAGTCCACTGTGTGGGGGAAACGTCAAGAGTCCACTGTTTGGGGGAGACGTCAGTAAATTCCACTGTGGGGGTAAACGTCAATAAAGTCCATTGTGTGGGGGGAAACGTCAATAAAGTCCACCGTTTGTAGGGGAAACGTCAATAAAGTCCACTGTTTATGTGGGAAACGTTATAAAAGTCCACTGTTTTTGTGGGAAACGTCAAAAAAGTCCACTGTGTGTGGGGGAAAGTCAATAAAATCCTCTGTGTGGGGGAAAGTCAATAACGTCCACTGTGTGTGGGGGAAACGTCAATAAAGTCCACTGTGTGTGGGGGAAACGTCAATAAAGTCCATTGTGTGGGGGGAAACGACAATAAAGCCCAATATGTGTTGGGGAAACGTCAATAAACTCCATCGTGTGTGGAGGAAACGTCAATAAAGTCCACTGGTTTTGTGGGAAACGTCAATAAATTCCACTGTGTGGGGGGGAACGTCAATAAAGTCCTCTGTTTAGGGGAAAGTCAATAAAGTCCTCTATGTGTTTGGGAAACGTCAATAAAGTTCACTGTGTGTGGAGGAAACGTCAATAAAGTACACTGTGTGGGGGGAAAAGTCAACAAAGTCCACTGTGTGTGGAGGAAACGTCAATAAAGTACACTGTGTGGGGGAAACGTCACTAAAGTTCACTGTGTGTGGGGGGAAGCAAAATAAAGCCCACTGAGTTGGGGAAACGTCAATAAAGTCCACTGTGTATGGGGGAAACGTCAATAAAGTCCATTGTGTGTGGGGAAAACGTCAATAAAGTTCACTGTGTGTGGGGAAACGTCAATAAAGTCCACTGCGTGTGGGGAAACGTCAATAAAGTCCACTGTGTGTGGGTGAAACGTCAATAAAGTCCACTGTGTGGGGGGAAACGTCAATAAAGTCCAGTGTGTATTGGGGAAACGTCAATAAAGTCCACTGTGTGATTGGGAAATGTCAATAAAGTCTTCTGTGTGGGGGGAAATGTCAATGAAGTCCACTCTGTGTTGGGGAAACGTCAATAAAGTCCACTGTGTTTGGGGAAATCGTCAATAAAGTCCACTGTGTGAGGGAAACGTCAATAAAGTCCACTGTGTGGGGGAAACGTCAATAAAGTCCACTGTGTGGGTGGAAACGTCAATGAAGTCCACTGTTTGTGGGGAAACGTCAATAAATTCCAATGTGTGTGGGGGAAACGTCAATAAAGTCCACTATTTGGTTGGGAAACGTTCATAAAGTCCACTGTGTGGAGGGAAAATCAATAAAGTCCACTGTGTTGGGGAGAAACGTCAATAAAGTCCACTATGTGGGGGGAAACGTCAAAAAAGTCCACTGTGTGTGGTGGAAACGTCAATAAAGTACACTGTTTGTGGTGGAAACGTCAATAAATTCCACTGTGTGAGGGGGAAACGTCAATAATGTCCTCTGTGTGTGGAGAAACGTCAATAAGTCCACTATGTGTGGAGGAAACGTCAAAAAAGTCCATTGTGTGTAGTGGAAACGTCAATAAAATTCAGTTTGTGGGGGAAACGTCAATAAATTCCAGTATGTGGGGGAAACGTCAATAAAATCCACTGTGTGAGGGGGAAACATCAATAAAGTCCACTCTGTGTGGGAAACGTCAATAAAGTCCACTGTGTGGGGGGGAAACGTCAATAAATTAGACTTTGTTGGGAGAAACGTCAATAATGTCCACTGTGTTGGGTCGAAACGTCAGTAAAGTCCACTCTGTGTGGAAAACGTCA